CTTGGGTCATATTTTGTGGAATACGGATTAATCAGACTAAAAACCTAATCATGTTTTGCCTGGTAGCAGATAAATGCATACTATTTGTAATATGTCTGATTAATATAACGGATATCGGCGAGGAATTTGAATCAACGTACCGAGTTCAAATTTCTGCCAAATCCGTTCGTTCACTTTCGCATAGATACCATCGGAAAAGGATTGAAACTTTCACGCTCACTAAGGTATGGATTAAATGGCAAAGAAAAATGGGTTTTTTAAATATTGTTTGGCATCCAGTCTAGGAGACAGACAACTCTGAATTCAAAACCGGTTGTGTTTAGGAGTGGCATGAAAACCTACTTGCTATGGAAATCACTAGCAACCCATATCGTATGGATGCTATTCTCCTCAGGGGAGTTTGATGGCAATAAGGAGGAGGAGGTTAATATAAAAGATCTGCAGTACCCACGCCTGGGTGATACGTTCAGTGACATTCTCTGAACTGAGCTTCGCCCCCTCAAAATGCAAAAAAAGATTTTGATAATTGTAATTATAAATGTAGGAAATAATTGCTATAGTTATTTGCTGAAACTATAAAATTAAGATATAATGAGTATATACATTGCACTTATCTTGACCTTGATCAGGGTTACAAGTGTAGCACCCAGGAGTCATAACAGTTCTATTTGTTCTCTAACGTAACGATTTTAAAACTATAGATTATAAATCATTCGAGGAAATATATATTTGCAGATAATCAATATCCGATTCACAAAGAAGGAAAAGCAAATTATTTTATTAACAATTTTTATACGTAAAATGTATGAGTAAAGTAATATCAACGTAATATGAAAAATCCTTCACAATACTTCCAAAATTACAGTGGAACTTCATTTGCGGTAAGTTTAGATAAAGATTAAATCATTGCAGATGTTCATCTTTTGACAAAACACTAACCGTTCAATGGTAAACATTTTGATTTGCAGTCAACAGCTACGTGTAATCTCCAGGTACTATAATTGTGTATGATTTTATGTCATCTATAGGTTTTCATGATGTTTTAATTTCATAAAGACATTGGCTTAAGCCTAAGAACGTAAACTCGTCTAAACTCTCAAATTCACTTAAAAACTTATCGTCAAGCTATCAAGTAAAAAAGCGAATTAAATAAGTCAGTTGGCGCGAAAAAGCCAAATGTCCAAGGGATGTAGAATCCAAATCTTAAGAATTATTTCCCATGATCCTACGTGTTGTCACTGAATTATAATTCTGGGAATTCATGTACTCGGATCCTCACCAGCACACAACCCGCAGTTAAAATTATTTTTAATACAGAGTTTCATCCAATAGAATTCTAGAGAGACACTTAAGGGAGAGTTAACAAAATTGTATTACTGAATGAGGTCTGTGATATGAATGGATGAAAAAGGAATGATGATTATGAAGATAAGGTAAAGATGATACGATTGAACTTTAACTGGAAGAGGTCAAAATTGACGTGTTCAAAGAAGAATCCATGCTGGAGTCTGTTCAAAAGTGGAAATTTTTCTTCTTACATTTGAGGCAATGATGAAAGGAGCGTGATTCAACATCGTGGAGTTAGCATAGCGGGTCATAACAGTTAAGGTCTGGAATGATGAAAAAGTAAGAATGGCGCTCATCTTAACATTTACCCTAGAAATAGATATAGAGTAGACTTACGTCTTTAACTAAGCAGTTAAAGTGTAATAAATAAGACATCTTCTTGTCTGTGCTGTTTTCTCCATAGGACGTTGCGATCATGGCTCTCTACAATTTCATGTCCTTTGTAGCTTTTAATATTTTTTTTGGATCTTACCTAACCCTTGACCTACCATCCATTTACTCAAGCTCGCTAGGTATGTCGTGTGTTGTTTTCCTCTATGCCGCTTGACTTCAATCTGTCCTGTGAGTATCAAATTTGCCAAGCCCTCTTTCCCCATTATGTATCGTAGAAATTTCAACTGTCTCTTCCTGATGTTATTTATAAGTGTCCTTTTTGTTTTCATTTCCTATAAAACTTTGTCTTTTTTCACATGTTCAGTCCATGGAATTCTCAGCATTATTCTGGAGAATCACATTTCTGTTGCTTTAAGTCTCTTCTTCATCCTTGAGAAGATTGTCCAGAATTCACTGTCATATGGGAGGCAGATACTATATATATAATAGTTCAGTTCTCTTATTCTTGCCTCTAACGAGATATTCTTATTTCTTAATACTTTTCTTAGCTTTTGGAAGGCATCTTTCGCTATCCCAGTGCGCCTTTTGGAGATCAGTGTGCACTTTCCGTCCTCTGTTAAAACACTTCCTAAATATTTATATTGTTGGACTTGTTTGATTTTGGTATCTCCAATAAGCATATTGTGTTGTTCGTTTTGCTAACAACCGTCTTCTTGCAATTGATGTTTAGACCTTTCTTGACGCTTTCCTTCACTACCTTCTGCTTTTTTTACGAAAAAGTTGTGTGAAAAATAAGACATCATCCTCGCTAAATATTTAAAACCCTGTTAGAATAGGAGATTAAAGAAAAATTACATAGATTTACCAATTATTTACCATGCACCATGGTAATCGGATATTCTTAAAATTAATTAGTCTGGTAGTAGTTTTAGTGTAAACCGCTTAAAACGTATTTGAAGTAAGTTACCATGTTAAGTTTCACCATTGCATTAAGAGGGAGCAGATTAGGGATACCTCCTGAGGAATTTGTCAGAATAATTGAAATTTTTTGATTACATATCATAAAATGCGACATTGAATCTTGGGTCATATTTTGTGGGAATACGGATTAATCAGACTAAAACCTAATCATGTTTTGCCTGGTAGCAGATAAATGCATACTATTGTGTAATATGTCTGATTAATATAACGGATATCGGCGAGGAATTTGAATCAACGTACCGAGTTCAAATTTCTGCCAAATCCGTTCGTTCACTTTCGCATAGATACCATCGGAAAAGGATTGAAACTTTCACGCTCACTAAGGTATGGATTAAATGGCAAAGAAAACTGGGTTTTTAAATATTGTTTGGCATCCAGTCTAGGAGACAGACAACTCTGAATTCAAAACCGGTTGTGTTTAGGAGTGGCATGAAAACCTACTTGCTATGGAAATCACTAGCAACCCATATCGTATGGATGCTATTCTCCTCAGGGGAGTTTGATGGCAATAAGGAGGGAGGAGGTTAATATAAAAGATCTGCAGTACCCTACGCCTGGGTGATACGTTCAGTGACATTCTCTGAACTGAGCTTCGCCCCTCAAAATGCAAAAAGATTTTGATAATTGTAATTATAAATGTAGGAAATAATTGCTATAGTTATTTGCTGAAACTATAAAATTAAGATATAATGAGTATATATACATTGCACTTATCTTGACCTTGATCAGGGTTACAAGTGTAGTGCACCCAGGAGTCATAACAGTTCTATTTGTTCTCTAACGTAACGATTTTAAAAACTATAGATTATAAATCATTCGAGGAAATATATATTTGCAGATAATCAATATCCGATTCACAAAGAAGGAAAAAGCAAATTATTTTATTAACAATTTTTATACGTAAAATGTATGAGTAAGTAATATCAACGTAATATGAAAAATCCCTTCACACAATACTTCCAAAAATTACAGTGGAACTTCATTTGCGGTAAGTTTAGATAAAGATTAAATCATTGCAGATGTTCATCTTTTGACAAAACACTAACCGTTCAATGGTAAACATTTTGATTTGCAGTCAACAGCTACGTGTAATCTCCAGGTACTATAATTGTGTATGATTTTATGTCATCTATAGGTTTTCATGATGTTTTAATTTCATAAAGACATTGGCTTAAGCCTAAGAACGTAAACTCGTCTAAACTCTCAAATTCACTTAAAACTTATCGTCAAGCTATCAAGTCAAAAAAAGCGAATTAAATAAGTCAGTTGGCGCGAAAAAGCCAAATGTCCAAGGGATGTAGAATCCAAATCTTAAGAATTATTTCCCATGATCCTACGTGTTGTCACTGAATTATAATTCTGGGAATTCATGTACTCGGATCCTCACCAGCACACAACTCGCAGTTAAAATTATTTGTAATACTGAGTTTCCATATATGAATGCTAGAGAGACACTTAAGGGAGAGTTAACAAAATTGTAATACTGAATGAGTAACAAAAACAAAACGATTCGAATATATAAGCATACTGAAAAGTTTTCGGCCTAATCGACTTTCCAAAATCTAAGCAATTTTTTAAAGGCGTTCGTTAATTCTAATTTTCATCTATTTTTTTTTCCATTTTCTTTATTGTTGGTTATATTTTTTTGGGTAATTTTATTTCTCTTGTATTTTTCTTTGACTGCTTCCATTTTAGTTTTCTTTCCATTTTCTCTTATTTTCCTCAGAGTCTTTTTTCTGTCAAATTTATTCTTTGTTCTTTAATTTATACTTCGGGTAAAAATTATTTCCTTTATTTTCTTTCGATTTCCAATAAAAGCGTTCAATCTATCAACAGTTAGTTGATTCATCTATTTGACAAAATTCGCAGCGTGCATCGTTGATCCATTCCTTAATTCATTCTATTACAATTTGTCACATTCCCTCTATTATAGTTGCTTTTATCTCCTCGTTCTTAGATTACATTATTCATGTTTGAATTTGCCTTTTCATGTCTTCACTCTTGCGTGTATTCCGGTCATTGCTTCTTCTATTTCACTGATGGTAAAAACTTCATTTATTGCATACCAAATCTAAGCATGGAATCTAAAAAAAATCTTTCACTTGTTTTACTAGTTTTACGCTTGGAGTGTAGTAGAAAATCCAGCATTCCTTGAAAATCAGCATTTGAAGTACTGGGTTTTTCCTAAGGTCAAACACCGACTGGTGGTATCGGTGAGAAATAAGCGACTGGAAAAAGATGCTAAATATTTAAATTTATTTGTTGACTACTTTTTTCTACTTAAATCGTTTTCTTTTTGCAATTTCCTTTTTACTGGATACATCAAGTCCCTTTTTAATATGTTCTTTACTCTTTCTTTCTTTCTTTCTTTCTTTCTCCTGTTTTCTTTCTTATTTTCTGTTTCTTTTTGCTCGACATTCAAATTATATTAATTTTTTCATTGAACCTCTTTCTTCATTATTTTAGCGTTTCTATTTTTTCTATTTCTTTTTCCTGAATTCATCACTTTCTCATTCATTTTCTTCTACTCCATTATTCTATGTATTTCTGCAGTTTTCCGTCTTTTCTTCCCTATTTCGGTTTCTCGAATCCATCAATTTCTCATTCACTATCTTCTATTCCATTATTTTTTCTATATATTACCATTTTTTCTTCTTCCATTTCTTTTGTTTTCCAAATCCCTCATTTTCCCATTCACTCACAACCATTTTATTATTATTCCATGTTTTTGTCGTTTTTCTTCTTTTGTCATTTTATTTTTTCCGAAGATATTCTTTTCCTGATCACTTTTCTTTTCTCTGTTTTTTTTCTTCTTCTTTTCCCTTTTTCTTTAGTTTTTCCATTTATTCATTCCGAATTCGTCATTTTCCTAATCAATCTCTTCCATTCCATTAATCCATCTTTTTTTTTCTGTATTCTTTTTCCATTTTCTTTCGGAATCCATTAACCTACCTATTCACTCTTTTTTTACATCTTTCTTACTCTTTTATCTTTTCTGTTTTATTTTCTATCTTTTCTATTCACTCTGTTCTTTTCCCCGGTTCTGCATTTTACTCGCATTTTCTTTATTTTCCGTATTTCTTCTCTTTCGAATTTGTCACCCTTCTATTCATCCGCTAAGTTTCCTTCTTCCTTTCTAAGTTTACCTTTTTTCTTTTTCGATTGCTTTTTTGCCCGAATTCATCATTTTACTCTCTCTTCTCTTCTTTTATCTCTCTATTCTTTTACTATTTAATTTATTCTTTATTTCCTTTTCGAATTCAACACTTTCTTATTCACTCTTTTCTTTTTCCATTTGTTCTCCTTTTATCTCTTTTGCTTCCCTTTTCAGTTTCTTAATCCTGCGTAAATCACATTATCCTTTCTTTCTACATCTTCTTATTCACTCTCTTCTTTTCCTCTCCTTTTTCCTCCTTATTCTTTTTATTTACTTTTCTTTCTTTTCCGCCTTGTTTCTGATTCACTTTTTCTATCGTTATTCTCTTTTTTGCCTCCTTTTCTATTTGATATATGCTTTACATCTTCTCATTTGTCTCTCTACTTTTACTTCCGGAATTTCCCTTCTCTCTTTTCCCTCTCTCCCTACTCTCTCTATTCCCCTTACTATTCTCTTTTCCTTCTTTTTTTTTCTTTCGCTCCATCGGAAGCCATTGCTGGCATCTTGCTTAAAGGACCTAACGAACGCATTGAATTAAACATTTTCTGAATGAAAATAATTGACTGGGCTAAGAAAAGTAAAGAAAGAAAGCAATTGATCGTTAGATACCTGGGTCACGTCGGCATTAGCCAAAATCGATAAGAAAGAATAAAGAAAGAAAAAAGATAGTGCAAGATAGTGGGGAGGTTTGCTGTTAAATAAGAGAGGGAGCGAGAAGGGTAATTCGACACGACTCTGTTCTCCACTATACCCGTGGTAAGGTTTGCTTGACCCCTTGTGATTGGGCGTTCAGCGTGAACCCTACACTCCTGCCTCTGCTGTTCCAATAATGAGTGGATATTGCAGATTTTATACGTACATAAATGAACACGTAGAAAGCTGTGTATAAGACTTAGCAAATGTCACGATGCTCATTCAAAGACACAAAAATTAACAAAACGTCTTCATAATAATGAGAATTGTTCCTCTGACACCTGTGTGGAATAGGGCCACAGACGAATCATGCTAATGTTGCTGGTGTCATTTCTGTAGCAAGTTGGCTTTTACCGGATAGGCTTACTACCAACCCTAAGCTCAAATAATGAGACACGCTCAAGATAAATGTTAAAATAGAAAAAGCGAGACATTGCTCCCCTTTTTTCACATACATAGCGAACTATGTCATGGCGTGATGGTTAGATTCCTTAGTAAACATTATACAGGATGCGATAGATAAATTGTCGCCTAAATTATGCAAAAATAAAAATAACATTTTTAACTGGAATATTTACCAAAATTACACAAAAATATTTTGAAATACTAAAGATTACATTTTTTCCATAAAATCGCCATTGGCTTCAATCACGACCTTCAGAAGACTTTGGAATCTCCTGCACGGTCTCCTTGTTGGTGAATTCAGCCATATTCCTTGCCTTCACATTTGGTGTTCCAAGCAGTTTTGTTGGTCTCTCGCTCACCTACGCCCTACACATAAACAGTTTGCGGAGTTAGGTGGCCAAATGTAAGGGGTGATGTGGTCACAGAAATTGTCGGATAGCCATGATTGGGTGGCATGGTGCAGAGTCCTGTTGCAAGACATAGTTTTCTTTTTCCATCAGCCACTATCCTGACCCAGGGCAGCACTAACTCCTCAAGGCACTTGATGTAGGTCTCCGTGTTGAGTCTGAGGTCATGTGGGAAGATGAATGGAGGCATAACGTCGCTATTATTAGTTGTCATTTCAAACACTATGATGTTGACTGGATATATCATCCAACTCTTTCTGAATCCTCTGCACTGTACTCGGCTTGAGACCTAAATACACTGAAATGTTCGTATTGGAGATTCCGGTGCGAATGCCAAGCAGTACAGCATGCCGTTTCCAAATTTCTGCTGGAGTGAATTGCGTCATGGTGCTATTTTTCTCACAGAGGGTGCCCAACTGACCCTACTATAGTGTATAGTCGACAAAATAAAAAATTATAAAAAAAACCAAAATTATAAAAAAAAACAAAAAACAAACGAGCGAAATTAAAAATATAAATGGCGACAATTTACACATCACAGCCTGTATACATTTATCATACGTAATATGACAATAAGCTAGATCTGGTACCATGGCCTCTGATCGGGAGGTTTTGAGGAGCGTGGAACCACCTTTTAATTAGTCGTAGTACTTGTTACGGTCCCAGCTATTGACTTGTTAACCCCGAAACTAGGGTTGAAAAACTATGAAAGTATAAAAATACATTTTTATAGTAAAAAATAACAACGATACATATTCATAATAAAAGAATTGCTAGCAATACATTTAAAAAATAAAAATAAAATATTACCAACAATACGATTTTGTAAAAGGAATTACTAATGCGCCCAAGAAAATTAAATTTTGCCATTAAATGACCCAAAGAGATGATATACCGCTGAACAAACTTGGCGCAAAAGTTAGCAAGAAAATAGACAATTTCAGCATGGTCAGTTCGATCTTCATTGGTTCCCACGCACCATTTCTTTCGTTTTTTGACTAAACAAAACACACAACAACCTATTTAAAAAGGGCTAACGGCTACATCACGTTGAAACACAGCTTTCTTGTATGATTACTGAAGTCAAGTAACGCCGAGCCTGGTCAGTTCCTAGATGAGTGGCCGCTTGGGAATACCAAGTGGTGCAAGTTTGGATGTGTGAGTGGTATAATAGATAATGGCTCAGAATTGTTAATCGGAGAGCCGAGTTCGAATTTCAATTGGGATCGTTATATTCACTTACGCGCAAATAACATTGGTAAAGGTATGAATCCATCACACGCTATGCGTTAATCAATAAGTCTTGTACCACCAAACTATTAATATCGGCAAAAAATATTTTTACAATCTACTAATATTTTCTGGCTTTAAATAAGCTGCAAATAATTAATAAGCAGTATAAAAGCAATCAATATTTAAATATATATCGAAAGTCTTTGATTTCGTATTTTAATTTAATATTTACATTTAATTTAATGCTTTAATTTAATATTTTTCTAAGCATAACTTCTAAGAACTACAAATAATGTGAAACGTAGCAAAAATTCGTACACTGTTCGAGCAATCACCTGACCTGATATCTCGTCTTCAGTCACTTTCTCACCGCCGTAATATACATTCCTTGTGTCTTTACTATAAATATTTTCATTGTAATTATTCTGGTGAGCTTTCCTCTGTCGTACCTAGCCTTTTCGATTTTAAACCCAGCTAAGTCTCATCATGTTACATTTGAAATGGTTATATGTAACCGTAAGTTGCATGCTAATTAGATTCTCGATCGGATTTCTCGCGTGTGAAATTATCCTCCGGAATTTTGCTTTCCAGTCAACGTTGATCTTGAAAAATATAAATGCAATGTCAGTCGTTATCTTCTATCTTCTTAATTCCTGTTTTATTGTTCCCTCTCCGTAATAAAGTTTTCTTTTTCCTTATATTCTTTCACACTCATTAATCCCTTGCATCATCCCTTGCATCGTTATTGCCTTACTTGGGGTGAAATGATTACAAAGATTTGTCTATGAGAATAACCTGTTAGACACCACTTCGTCACAGGTAAGTTTTTATAGATATTTACCAAATCTAGCTTAATGACTCAAAACCGTACAAGTTGGTCTCTGAATTAAGATTGGGACAATACATAATCTTCGGTTTTTGATAAGAAACGTTTTTATAGGATTTAGCAGATATGTATTAGAATCATATTTGGCAAATCAAGAGAGCACTGAAAGAGTTTAAAACTACAATACGGAACAATAATCGTTGCTTTGACAAAGTTTTAAAATTGCCTAACGAAATGATTGCATATGCATTACAAATTATTGGTCATAGCCTAAATCAGTGTTGAATATCAACAATTCAAATGCAAAATGCATATCTATGTTACATAACACGTTTTAATCTTATTTAAAAAGATAATGCAGAATGCTAAAGTTAAATTGCTAGATTAAGATCGAACTGGTCTTTTTCTCTCTTTTCTATTTTTTCTATCTTTATATTATTCTATTTTTATTACTTTCTTATATCAAGTGTTTCTTGTTTTAGTTTTCAATTGCTTTTTTGTTTTAATCCTGTTACTTGCTTTTTCAAATCTGTAACTTCTCCGTTGTGAAAGTCTTTTGTCTAATATTCTTAGATTTTCCTGATGTCTTCATTCTTTCTTTCTTTCATTATATTATTCTGTTGAGTTGGTGCATAATTATCAAGCGTTTTTGTAAGCGAGTTATTTGTTAATAAAAAATGCTGTTTTGTTTACTTTTTAATAAAAAATATAATTTTATTTTCAGGTTATAAAAATCCATTTCGATAATTATACGCTCCGGAATAATCATTTAAAAATGTTATTGTTAAATTGTTGTTTCTTTTTTCATAATAAATATTGTTTAAAAAATGACTGATAATTATGCACCAGTCCAATAGTTTTTGTTTATTTCTTTGTCAATCCATCGTCATATTTTTTTCATTTTCTTTCTTCTCTTTCCTATTTTTATGTCGTTTTCGAACCCGTTTTTTTTTTTTTTTTAAATCAGTTGATTCTTGCTCTTTCCTATCTCAGTGAATTCATTTCTCTTTGTTTCATTTTTGTCTTTCTTTTGTCAACACGTCTTTCTTTATTAATTTTCGACTTATTTTAGGTGCTTCATTTCTTTAATTTCTTTTTATATGTTTTAAAACTATCCTTTCAAAATTTGTGATGAATCAAATTTTATAATAATAATTTATTTTGTCGACGGGGCCTAGAATTAGTTGATATTATCCTCTGCAGAAGACGAAAAGAGGTCACCTGCCACGTAAATGCTTATAGACTCGTATATTTCACATATAAACGACCGTTATTTACATATCCACGAACGAAGTAAATACTTATAGGTTCAAATATAAACGATCAAAATTTACCTATCTATGAACCAAGTAAATGATTATAAACTAAGATATAAACGATCAGTATTTATGTATCAGCGAACCAATTAAATGCTTTTCCACGAACTAATTAAATGCTTTTCCACGAACCAATTAAATGCTTTTTCCAATCAGATATGAACGGCTGATATTTAAGTAAACTCGAACAAAGTAAATGCTTATGGACTCAAATATAAGCGCTCAAAATGTACCTATTCCCAAACCAAGCAAATGCATATAAATTCAAATGTAATCGAAACACATTTATCTATCTTCGAATCAAGTAAACGCATACAGGCTTAAATTTAATCGAATGACAATCGAACTAAGTAAATACATACAGACTCAAATGTAATCGAATCGCATTTACCTATCTTCGAACCAAATAAATGCATACAGATTCAGATATCATCAAACGATATTTACCTATCTTCAAACTAAGTTAATGCTAGTAGCTAAAAAAAAAGTAGTTTCAAAATTCAGTAAACCAAAAGTTTCGATGTGAAGTAAAATCAAACAACCAACAACTAATACAAATGTAAAGCTCACTTCTTGTGTTGCCTCTTCCCTTGGAATCTACGATAGTAATGTTCGATCTGCAATAAGACGTATTCTTGTCACGCATTAATTTCCGTCTCTTAGTTTTCAATCTTAACATCTCAATATAAATCAGCAACAAATTTAAACAGAATGCTCATTTTTTTTATTTAGGTTAATCACGTTTTCTGTAGATACCAGTCAAAATTAGCGTAATTAGCGTACCATATATTCTTGGAGAGTGGCTTAGTGGATTTAATCGTGGGTAAAAATCGTGCTTTTTACAAGGTGCATGTGATCTAATTCCCTCGAGAACTTAATGAAATATAGGATTTTGCAAAAAACGACATCAGACATGAAATAATATATTCGTGAAAATTGATTGCTGAAAATAAGAACCAAGAGCATATAAAGAAGATCATAAAGTATGCGACGTATATGTTGCATTTATAATAAGACCTATATCTATTAGAGGTAAGAACAATAATTCAAATATCGTTATTTATAAATGTTAACTTAGTTCAAGTTATTGAGAAAATGATGCTGCACCATCTTATAAAACACATAAAATCTTGGGAAGGATTATGATCATAATTCAGAGAGGTACGGGTATTTTTCTCAACTATTCATTGATCACGTATCACGGAAATTGTGACATGGAAGTCTGAAGAACTTAGAAATAGGGGAAAATGCATTTCAGAAACAGAAAGGTATTAAGTGATCGAGAAACAGCGTGAAGAAGAATAAGAAGAAAGGTGCAATGGTTTTGCTACTTTGATTCGCGATTTAGAAGCAACGTGCATCTTTGTCGTTCGAATTTAGACTTGTTCTAATTTGAATTGCACTTCTCTGCATGCAGGCACACACACTAAAGATGGGCGGACGCAAACGTACGCACATGTACAAAAGACATGGATCAGGGAAACTATTCAAGAATTACCGGATGCGACACAGGTCTGCGTAAAACAATGATACTAATAGTAATCTACTATTAGACTTCAATAAACCATTTTTTAGGAACATTGATAACTATTTTATTTAAATAAATAAAGTATATGTATCTTTATACAAATAACCTTATTTCAGCATAACAAAATGAACACACGTGCAGGTGCGCGCGTGCACAAACACACACACACGCACAAACATATAGTAATAAGTAAAATGATGTTCATTTATCTAGTCTTATTTTAGTTATCACTATTAATGCACTAGAGCAAGTAAGCAACGCGGAAATATTTTAGGAAATTAAAAATAAAAATGACACTTATACTTAGAATTAAAAAGAGACTGTTGAAATTTGTAGGCTCAAACACTCGGTCTTGAAGACTTATAATTTCGTGCTAGTACAACCATCGACGGCTTCCAAAAAGGTACGTGTATTTAATTTCGCTATCTATATAAATGATCTGCCTAAGGATATTCTCAGATCGTTTGTAAACATCTATGCCGATGATATGATTATATACGGGCGTTCATCTAAAGCTATCGATGGTCAGAGATTGGCGACTGATCTCACTTCCGATCTTGTACAAACTACTACGTGGGATAAAAGCTGGCAGCGAGTTACATTCCATCATTGCCGATCTAACCACGAACTACCACCAATCATGATGATTGTAACGACTTAGTGATAAATGTCTTAATAATGATTTAGTGATAAAAGTCTTACTAATTAATCCATAGATGAGGAGAGGAAGTAGTTTCATACCCTTTCCCAAGGGTATTTGCGCAGAAGTGAATATGAAGAAATCGACTGGAGTTGGACGCGGCTCTCTGATTTATAATTCCGAGTTGTTATTTATTATAGCACAAGCACATGCAAGCTTATAACATCTCGTATTCCCGAATAATCATCCATCTAGGTACTGACCAGGCTCTATGCTGCTTAACTTCAATGATCGTATGATTTAACGTGATATGGCCGTAAGCCGGTGAAAATTTATGGAAGGGGATTAATTTCAGTTTAGCATCGTAAATTTCCGTCTTGAATCATATAAAATATATCACCTCCACGCAAATGTCTTCCATTAAAAAGTGGGTTATTTAAAAAACAATCGCGATAGATAAAAATAAAAGCAAAAGCAGTAGAAAGCAAAACCAGATTGTCTGTTATTTATCTAGAAACAGCGGACACCTGTAATTAAAAATTTCAATTTAAAGTTAAGTAACCCTGCATCTTATGTCTTCCATTAAAAAGTGGGTTATTTAAAAAACAATCGCGATAGATAAAAATAAAAGCAAAAGCAGTAGAAAGCAAAACCAGATTGTCTGTTATTTATCTAGAAACAGCGGACACCTGTAATTAAAAATTTCAATTTAAAGTTAAGTAACCCTGCATCTTATGCGCTTCTCTCGATGTAGAATTGCAAACAGTGTTTATTGAATTTCGTTCAAAACTCCAAAATATGTATGATTTCATCGTTAAAAGATTATTAATCTGAAGAAGTACTTTAAAAGAACGAAACACTTAACAGGATTTTCCCGTGTTATCTATCTATCTATCTATCTATATATCTATCTATCTATCTATCTATCTATCTATCTATCTATCTATCTATCTATCATTAACAGAGTATCTGAATACTTAGCACCTAAACTCTCCGATATCAAACGCTAATCCACTTCAGTTTATTCAACAGGAAATTTTAAAACGTATTTTCGAGACGTCGATTTTGGATTTAAATCCTAACCGACAGACCCAAAACCGAGAAATGACATTCGCTGCATATTTGCTTCATTTTTCTGACACGTTGTGCCGTAAAATGAACTCTTCATTCAACTGGCACTATGTATGGATCCTATTGAAGTGGGCGCCAACATCGTCAGACTCTGTTAGCCAATCAATGACGATCGCGTGGGAGGCAACTTTTACATTAAAAAAATATCATTATTATTATTTGGAAAATTCTGCTGTTGCTTTATGTATCTTATGTATTTTATTAATGCACGCCATAGAACTGAAGGCTTTCGGCGTGCATCTATCGATTAAAATATCAATCACTGATGAGATTCGAGGAGATTTCATGAGATTACCTTGACGCTCACTGAGAGGATATTGTTTCAGATGTTCACTATTTGAAAGAAGTATTTTTCTCTTCCCTTTTCCATTTTTTGATGAGGAAATAAAAAAGAAATTATTTTTATAATACACACACATACACACGTGTAAGATTGTATATTAATTCACTTTGCTATTTTTGCCATTCCATTAAACATACATGGCTTTATATACTGCTTGTAATTGTTTGAATTTAATTACTCGCCTCCTAGATTCAAGGGAATAAAAGTATTCAATCTACGTTTCAAATTTTGCATGAGTGATGAAGAAAAATTTAAAAAATTAAAATTGAATTTTGTGTTTCCAAGTTCTACAACGAGTTTGTGTTCTGAGAAAAAAGCTGTTTTCTCTTAGAATTCATTCGAAGGGAATATCTGAAAATCGATATAGTGTTCTCTTGGGAGAGGCCGTAGCAAGTAATTATAAACACTTCTAGTTTTGCCAATTAAAGGAACTTTTCGTTGTAAAAATTAAGATTATATTTAGGATTGCTCAATTATACATACATACATACATATATATATATATATATATATATATATATATATATTCGTCTCTATCTCTCTCTCTACACACACACACACACACACATATATATATATATATATATATATATATATATATATATATATATATATGAGAGATAGAGAGAGACGAAAATTGTTTGCGTTATATATCGAGGAGAATAGATTCAACACAGACACACGCACACATACATACTGGTCTCTGGCTGTGTTCAAACATGCACCCCTCTTTGTAGGGGAAACAACCGTAACACTGCAAAAAGGACACAACGCTTTCTGAGGGCAAGTAGTCCGAAGCACGCCGGAAAAGGTTGTGGTTTCTTCTTCAAAGGTGGACGCATCGTCAAACCCTGCCGAAGTGTGCATTTTCTTTATTAAATTTCCTCAGAATTTGGTACAGCATGGCTAGGATCTCCTCCTCTACTAACCGTACTCAACTTCGGATTACCACTTAATCTCGATCTCTACAAATTTCTCTAAATGAGAAGAACTTCCATTTCATGAAAGCCTGTAAAGAACACAGACCATTTCGTCACCCTCAAAGGGGTCTATTTATGATAGGATGTAAACTAGAACCAGCATCAAAGATGGTGTAATGTAGTGGAACAAAGTGGCACATATGTAGTTGAATAAATACATATGGAAATACATAAATATTGTCTATGAAATTAATTTAAAAACTCAATAAGCTTGCCTTCTGATTAAGATTACTAAAAACGTGACAAGCATGTTCGTTACTAAGTTTCACGGTAAAATCGTGCCCACACTTAAACTATATATGGCTATAGCCTCAGGATATTGAACACGGTATGTAAAAAAACTACGATAAAGTGTATTTAGTTGAAGTTACATTACATTTATGTAATACAGTGCATTTATATGTAATTAATTCTCTCTCTCTCTCTCACTCGTATATATATTATATATGTACAATGTATATTGAGAGTGGGGTAAGATTAAATAGATGTAAGTAACAACTCGGATACCAGACACACAAAATTAATATCTGAATAGATATCGCTCTCTCTTCTCTCTCTCTCTCTCTCTCCCTCTCTCTCACTCACTCACACTTACACACATGCACACATTCGCAAGTGGTGTTACGTCCCAGGAGACGGTGATGCAGCGCAGAGTGCTACAGGTGTTGATTGGCTGCCTATAGGCTAATCTCTGCCTTGCAATGCTGAGTCCAAAAGAAAGGATATATCAGTAGAGTTTGGTACAGCTGCAGCAGTTACCTGAACGTGACACGATACATCATCGAATCGCCTTAAGGTCTCCACACTGGATCGGCGGTGGTAGGCGTTACGCTATCTTTACATCCGTTATGCCGCGCACACAGACACACACATACACCAATACATACATGCAAATGTATATATATATATATATATATATATATATATATATATATATATATATGTGTGTGTGTCTGTGTTTACGTTTGTTTTTGTGTCTCTGTGTGTGCGCGTGTATCTGTCAATTTATCTATAATTTTTACTATGTAATCTATTGATTGGACGAAACTTCCATTTATATGTATGTGTCTGTGTGTGTATGAAATATGGGTCGATATTTTTGTAGTATGATATTACTGAATTTTGATCATTAATGCTTCAGCTATGTGACTAAATGGATGAAGGGCATTGCCAAAATAGTAAAAAAAAATTAAAAATAAATATTTGTTGTATAAAATAATTTAAATTAGACTACGGACATAGCAAGGATATATATATATATATATATATATATATATATATATATATATATATATATATATATATATAATTTATCAGCACCAAATAATAAATAATGACTAAAAAGTTAAACGATATTATGAGATAGCTACAAATAACAGCATTCGGGTACACAATTATTCCTATTCAATAGCCTCTGGAATAATTTGAAAATAACCGTTCTCGCCTGCTCTGTAACCATTAGAATAATACTGTAGACTTTGACCCTCATAATAGCCGAGCCAAAACGCAAGGCACATATACAGAATATTGAGTTCAAGCATGAAGTAGACTAACACTGCTCTGTGTTGACCTCAGTGTTCATTTTTCTATTTACATACGCTCTATCACTGAGATTGCACACTTTTACACATAAATATCACATATCTTACTTAAATCTATATTTTAGCTCACTCCATCTTCCTCCCTCCCTCTCTCTCTTCTTATATATATATATATATATATGCACACACACACACACACACACACATATATATATATATATATATATATATATATATATATATATATATATATATAATGAGAGACAGTGCGAAAGTGTGAGATAGAGAATGAAAGAAAGAGTTCTGTAAAAGAAGAAATTTAGCAGATGAAAAAAAATATGAATAAAAAGAATAAACGTAAAAATGATAACACCTTACCTCTGAAAAATTTCAACAGAAAAAAAAACTGACGGTAAAGTGTCCGAAATTTTAAAAGAAAGACAACAAAATCAAGGAAACTAGCCAGAGACCATCATTATTTATAGCAAAATCTCGTCTAAGAAATTCAGATGGAAAGTGTTATTGTAATAAAGTTGTCACTGTTTTCATTTTTTTCTTTCTGTCAGTTGCCTCTAGGAAGTAACTGGAAATTGAACGACTAACGTGTCTAGCATTCACAGTTTCAATTTTCTTCATCACCACATAGCATTCCGTTTCATCTCACCTGCAGTAGTACATTAAAACAACACGCTAAAGTTATAACGTTAAAGTGGTGTTTATTACCCTGGGGCACAGAAACGGTTCATAAAGTCAGTTTTCGGAATTTATGTTCATTTTTCTTGTCTGAGAAGAAATTTCTTTTACTTTTTTTTTTTTTTTAGATAAAATAACAGAATCTTGTTGTGCTTATAAGTATAGCTTCATGGTTAGAACGCTGTTGTCTTCCTGAAAGTGTTTTGTCTTCAAATATCCCTTTGATTCATAGTCTATTGTGATTGACCTTAGGCCATGTCAAGTTGAAACATCGGTTCTCGGACGATCATCGAAGTTGAGCGTGGTCAGTACCTAGATGGGTGACCGCTTGATACTTCCATGGTGCCTTGAACTTGGATATGCGGATGGTATACCGAAAAACAAAATACTAAGAAACGAACATTTTGTTAGTAACAAGGAAATGTGTGTTGAATTGCTTTTTTATATCGATCGTTTTTTCTGATTGCGAATGCTGCACAATCTCACTCAGATGCAGATGAAACTAGAGGCAAAGGAAATTTGGTTGCACATAAGGGTACTGAGAATATAGAACAAGGAATCTTTAAAGAAAATGTTAAAAAAAAACGAACGCGTATACTCGGAATCAAAAAGAGTTAAAATTTATTGAACACCTAATGACGAAGCGGGGCTTGGAAAGCATAACTTACAAGGCATATCTAGGTCAGGAGAAGGCAGCGAGCCGCCTAATTGAGGAGTCCGTGTGAATGGATATGGGCGGGAACCTTGGAAAAGGGAGAAACACTGCTAAGGGCCACGTGAGATAGGAGAGGGTGAGGAGGTGTAGGATGCTCTGTACACTTTTGGAGCTGCCTCTTCTCTTCTTTTTTGGTTTGATTTTCGTGGAAGTGAATGCGCTTCCGATACGATCTCGTGTCTTCCTCTCTTACCAAGTGATGATGGCTGAACCCACATTAAATGTGGTCACTTTTCTTACACTGTTTATATCTCTTCTGTATGGTCCCGCGTCTCTTTCGGACAGTGGTTAGTTGCTAGAAAGTTGGGCCGTTACAAGACTGTCGTCTTCCATCTTTGCCATGTGGTTACTTCCCCGTAGTCGAGTCATATGACGCATAGTCCCAATACTTACTGGCAGAGTTAAGCATCCGCTACAATGCATTTTTGAAAAGTTACAGAGGCAACGCTAATATAAGGTTTCTAGTGAGCGAAAATGAAGCCCATGTATTATATAGAAGGGTGAGTAGCACGATGACTGCATATGTTGGCTTTCGTATTATTTTTAATCATTTCACCCAAAGCAAGACAATAACTAGGACGCATTGGGTTACAGGCAGAAGAAGAAAAAAGAGACTTTGAGGAAATGTGAGAAAAAGTAATAAAGGAAAACTATTCAGGAAGACAAAAGATGCCGATTGACGCTGAATTTACATTTTTAGAAGATTTTAACTAGCAGGGAAACAAGGGATCGGAACGGAGTTCCGCAAGGGAGATAAATGCGAGAAAATTAAAAAAGAAAAGCCGGTTGCTTCCAGCTATATTTTGTACGGCTTTAGCGGCCCAAGAAACTTTTGCCTAGACTACCAAGTACCTAGTTAGACTTGACCAATCAGTTGTCCATTTCCCTGTTCAGTTTGTTAAAGTGAAAATCTGGACGACTTCCAGCTTTCTATGTTTAGTGCAGGCTGGTGAAAAAAGGCCGTCATTTGACAATATTATTTTCTGGCCTTTACAAAGCTTTTACAAAGATTACCTACTTGAAGAGTGACCACAGTACCTAATCTTTTGTTTCTCTGAGTAGCTCATGCCCCTTTAACATTTCTTTGTCGTTGTCGTCATCGTTCTGCCATTCGTTTACTCACGGTAATTACGTAAGTAAGTCGTTCATTCCACATGCTTCTCCTGCCTATAGTATACTCTCTTGGTGTTAATTTCCCTAAGCCTTCTTTCTTTCTTTCTTTCTTTCTTTCTTTCTTTCTTTCTTTCTTATGTACTCCAAAAGTTTTAGTTGCTGCTCTTTAGAAATAAAGACAGAAAAAATGTAAAGCATATTAATACTTCCTCGTTACTCACATGGTGTCCATAGCTGCGAGTTTCTCATTTATATGTGGGTGAATTGTCCAACATTCGCCGCCATACAAGGAAGTTATATATTAAATAGTAGTGCAGCATTCTTTACTTGTTTCAAAGTATATTTTATGTGTCTTAATACTAATGCTTAGTTTCTAGAAGACATATTTTGCTTTTCACTGCACCTACGATTTATATAACATTTTTCCGAGGTCTTTTACTACATTACCCAGATATTTAAATATCTGCACCTGTTTGAATTTGACGTGCCCAATATGTAATTCAATGGGCTGTCACATTTGTTGACGGATATGCATTCTCTCTTCTTAGAGTTAAAAGTTCTTACTTACTTGCTTTCATTTAGTGTATTCTCTAAGAGTTCATTCAGTTCCTTTTCTGAATCAGACAACACATCTACTAACTTAACTAAGTATGAAAAGTTTCTATGCAGGTTTTAAAACGAAAGATACAAAACAAATACTATGTTCAGTTTTAAACTTCCGACAAAATTCATAATAACGGAAGAGAAAGAATTGGGGTAAGGTCAAGAATACAGATTTCTTAGGATATATAATAACGTTAAAATATCACAAAAGAAGAAATAAAATAAAATCTAACGATAAGATTCAAGTCTTTTCGTAAAAATAGTGATATACTGAAAAACTCCTTTTCCAGTCTGCTTAAAACGTAAATTGTATAATTAATATGCGATGCCAGCTATGATGTCAAATTTGTCAGAAGATCTAAATTAAGAGAATCGCTTGAAGTCCAGCTCAGAAATGCACAGAGATCAATGTAAAGAGAAAATACTAAGGATAACTTTAAGCGATAGAAATAATTCAAGATCTGTAAGGTAAAAGATCAAGAGATATAGAAGTAATTAAACGATGAAAAAACGAAGTGGACGGGACACATCGCAAGGAGAAATGATAACAAATAGAGTAAGACATTCCCAAAGGATAGGCAGGCATAAAAATATATGGAGATATAAGGCGGAAGAAGTTTGCTCTTAAAACACGGTAGAGAATACTCCAATTATGGTTGTCGTAGAAGAAATTGGGGAAAGGTTTCTCTCCTTCACTGGATTCTTACTGGCTGGTGATACTGATGATGACAATCATGGTTATCCAAAACCTAATAATAGTAAGGTCTTAATAAAATACACTACCAATTTTTCTTATCTTGTTTCTTCTGCTAGAGAGTTGCGTATACCAGTGACTTAAACAACTAAATTATAAGAGTATTACTCCTCAATTGTCAGGCAAAACCGGGCAGATCAGAGGATAGCGATCAGACAGTGATCAGAACTATAAGACCCCGTGGAATACAGAATGACAGTAGTGCTAAGTGGACAAGAGTCAATCTAAATCTCAATTTACGACCAAATTACATACGATGCTTCAAATGCCAAAATTTATAAGATCACCAAATTCCCAAATGGAATTACTGCTATGACTAAAATAGTGATTTACCACTGAAAGATTTTTTACGGCTTTGTGGCTTAAATAATACAAAGTTACCAACTGCCATGGATGACAGAGAAGGTTGCGCTCATGAAGTCAAGCAAATCTGAACAAGCTCGACAAAAGAAAATATTAATTTAATATATGCTACTTGTTCATATTGTAGGGTGGGGAGGGCAGGTAGTGATCAGAATTATAAGGCATTATTTAATACAGCATGACAGTTGTACTGACTCGACGAATGAGTCAATCTAAATCTCAATTTATAACCAACACCAAATCATATACGATACTCCAAATGTCAAAACTTCTAGGATCACCCAGTTTTCAAAGGGAATTTCTGCTATAACTATAGTATGGAGAAAAATAATTGGGTTTGCCACTGAAAGATCTGGTATGGCTGTTTGATTTTACCAACACCGAACTAAAAACTGCTATGGATCATGAAATCAAGAAAATCCTAATAAGATTGACAGGATAATAATGAAGAACATATATACTGCTGTTCTTGATGGCGTCGGTAAGCAATTTAGCAAATATCTACTGTGGTTTGAAATTTAGTCTTATTTAATAATGTTTCCGTGAATTAATATAGAAAGTGCAGAGTAAAGCCAATTTACCTCCTGCCTGTTGCTATACCTAAGAATAAATATGCGAATAGCCTCAAACGGAAAATGTTTTGTTACTAATTCAGATCATAAGATAATCTGTCTACGTAGATGAAAGAGATAGGTTTTATTTCTACAGGTGTTAAATATTTTTGCTCTCACAAAAATCAGTCTGTGGTAAAGAAAATAAAATAAACCAGACTTGTAATGGTTTGTCAAGTAGAATGATTTGTCATGCGTTCTGGAATTGAATAGAAAGGAAAAATTCGGCAAATTCTCTAATTTCACCCCCCCAATCTTTTCTAGTGTAAGATTTATTTATCTGAAAAAAAAGTAAAACCAAAAGATGTGAAAATAAATAAAAAATGAAAAGAAAATATATATTAATATAAATATATATATATATATGTATATATAAATATATATATAAAGTATATATATGTATATATATATATATAAAATAAATGTATATATATGTATATATATATATATATATATGTATATATATATATATATATATATGTATATATATATATATACCTGTGTATATATATGTATATATATATATATATATTCTGTGTATATATATGTTATATATATATCATGTATATATATATGTATATATATATATATATGTATATATATGTATATATATATATATATATGTATATATATATATATATATATATATGTATATATATATATATATATATATACCTGTGTATATATATATATATATATATATATATCTGTATATATATATATATATATATATATATATATATATATATATATATATATATATATATATATATATATATATATATAT